TTCAAACCCCGGCAAGGGGACAAAGTACCCTTTAGTCACTGCACATCTAGCCCCTCATCCACTGTTAGTTTGTGGTTTTAAAGAATCTAAGTCCAAGGCCGGGCATTGGTGGCGCACACCTTTAATCCCAGCACTCGGAGGCAGAGGCAGGCTGATCTCTGTGAGTTCGAGGCCAGCCTGGTCTACAGAGCAAGTTCCAGGACAGCTTCCAAAACAACACAGACAAATCCTGTCTTGAAAAACAAAAACAAAAAAAGAAAACAAAAGAATCTAAGTCCAAGGGGCTGGAGAGATGATGGCCCAGGGGTTAAGAGCACTGGCTAGTCTTCCAGAGGTCATGAGTTCGATTCCCAACAACCACATGGTGGCTCACAACCATCTATAATGAGATCTGGTGTGTATGCCAGAACACTGTATGTATAATAAATAAATCTTAAAAAAGAAAAAGATTCTAAGTCCAGAGTGAAATTGTAAGCCCCCTTTTACTTCATACTTCTTGAACTTGCCTGTGAGTGGAGGGGGAGAATTTCACCCTGTTCCATCCCGTGTGTCTGTGGTGGGTGCCAGGCAGTTTGCACATCTGCCAAGTTCCCAGCAGCTACTGTTGCTGCGGGCCTGACCTTGGAAATCACCAGGCTAAGTCATCTAAGCTGAGCCAACTGGGAAAATGCAGAGAATTTCATCCTTGATCAGGTCCTTCTTGCTTCACTTACTCAGGGGTCTACAGTTTTGTTTTGTTTTTCCCAGTAAAGATGCTGTGATTTGATAAATTTCACTTGTGGAACCAGCTGAGCCGGATACTTGCCATCAGATATTTGCTTAGGTAAATATTGTTGCATACTAAGTAAAAACCGAAGATATCACGGGCATGTTGGCTCACTCGCAAGGTGACTCTCCAGAATCTGGTCTCATGGCTCTCTATCAGTGACTCATATTTAAACTAAAGGTACTATAAGCAACCTCACCACAGAACTAAGTGGACTTTGTTCCTGTTGCTACCCGACCCCCACACACCTGAAAACTGCAAGATATCAGAACTGAGTATGAAACCATTGGATGGTTGTTCAAGCACCACGGTACTAATGGAACTCAACCTCAAAATGGATTACCTGACAATAGCTACTAATATTAAGTTAGTACCCGATAGTATATTGAAAAGTGCAATTATCAGAAGCATTTTACGAGTGGTCAGTGGGCCAGCAGTAGACGTCACTGCGGGATTCCCTGACTTTAGTGCTCTCTGCCGCTCATCCACAGCTCACACTGTGTGTTTGTAAGGAGAGGGCGCTAAGGAGGTGTAAGCGCTAAGGCAGAAAATGCTGGACTGGCAAACTGATTCTTTCAAATTGAAATCCCTTAAGGAGCTGTGCCTTCACAAAGGGCCATTTGGACTTTCCCCTATAAGCAACGAATCATAGGGGGTCTTTGGGGGATAGCTTGAAATATAGGAGGGAGTATGCCTACCATGCTCGGGGCCCTGTGGTACATCCCCAGCACCACAGAAACAATGATGGAAAGAGTTTTGGTAAGGGAAGGATGTTCTATCATATCAAGACTAGAAAATAGGTTAGAGTCCGGCGATGTGGACTCAGATAAAGGAGCTCGTTGTGTAAGCTGATTCTCCTCCTAGTGCCAGTAGCTTCTGCCCCATATTCCTCTAAGCAGGGGCCCCCAGAGCAAGGGTTCTCAACCCTTTAGTACAGTTCCTCGTGTTGTGGTGACCTCCAACTACACGATTATTTTTATTGCTACTTCATATCTATAACTTTACTACTGTTGTGAATCCTAATGTAAATATCTGATAAGTAGGATATCTGATACGTGACTCCGCCCCCAAAGGGTCGAGACCCACAGGTTGAGAACCCGTGCTCTGGATCCACTCACTTTACAAATGTCTTGCTTTTAGGCTGAGCATGGTGGCTCTTGCCTTTCACTCCAGCACTGCAGGCACATCTCTGTAAGCTCAAGGTCAACCAGACCCTGTCTCAAAAAGAGTTACTGCTCTAGTTTAAGAAATACAAAAATATTCTTTGGGAATTTCTTCAAACTTAACTCTCGTGTGAAGACTCCCAGGTGTATGTGAAATTAACAAAACTTTTATGCTTTTCTCTTGTCAACAAACCAACTTTTGTATTGATTGGGATCCTAAGTCTAGCCAAAGACCCTACATAAGAACTGAGGGGGCAATAAAAGAGCTTCCTTTCTCTCACAGTAGACGACTTTGATTTTTAAACCCGAATTGCTTCTGACAATATGTGCTCCGTGTTTAAAAGCACAGGTTGCTCTTTCAGAGTACCTGGATTCAATTACTAGCACCTATATGGTGGCTCCTAACCATCTATAACTCCAGTTCCAGGAGGCCCAATGCCTCTTCTGGTCTCTATGGAAATGTACACGTGTAGTGAACAGATGAACATGTAGGCAGACAAAACACCCATAAACACAAAATAAATAAAAATAAAATGGAGGGCACTAGGGGCAATTATGAGGAGCAGAGTTCAGATGCCAGAACTCATGTAAGAAACTGGGCGTCTGATGCGTAACTGAACCCCAGCTCCAAGGAGAACAGAAGCAGAATAGTGCTGGGGTTTGCAGGCTACCAGTCTAGTCAAGAAAATGCAAACCCAATTTCAGGGAGTGACCCCCGTCTTAAAGGCAAAGGCAGAGAGTGCTGGAGGCGTGCACCTGAGGCCTTCCAGCCTCTACAGGCATGAACACGTTTGTACAGCACTCCCCTGTGGGCACAAACTCACACAGACACCCTGTCCACATTAATCATTCCTTAAAAAAAGTATTGAAGATCCTGTTTATGAGGGTCTATCATCTTTACCTACCTACCTATCAAACTGAGGTATTTAATGCCTATAAATACATAAACATTCTTTTAGGTGTCCATATATCACATTACAGACTCTGAAAAATTACAATACATATTAGTTCTTTTTTTTCTTTTTTTGGGGGGGGAGGTTTCTAGACAGGGTTTCTCTGTATTGTTTTGGAGGCTGTCGTGGAACTTGCTCTGTAGACCAGGCTAGCCTTGAACTCACAGAGATCTGCCTGCCTCTGCCTCCCGAGTGCTGGGATTAAAGGTGTGCACCATCAATGACCAGCACATATTAGTTCTTTAAAAAAAATGAGAAGGGAGTTGATGTGGTGGTACATGCCTGTAAATCCTAGCACTTTGGAGGCCAGCTGGAGCTACATGAGACCCTGTCTCAAAATATTAAAAACAGGGCTGGAGAGATGGCTCAGAGGTTAAGAGTACTGACTACTTTTCCAGGGGTCCTGGGTTCAATTCTCGGCAACCACATGGTGGCTCACAACCAACTATAATTCAATCTGGTGCGCTTTTTTGGCATGTAGGCAGAATACTGTAGATGTAAAAATAAATAAATCTTTAAAAATTAAAAACAAAAATATTGCAAATGGTAGATAATGTTACAGCATCTATAGGAAACATTTTGACTTTGAGAACTATAATTTGAGAAAACCTGGCACATATACTAACAGTGTTTTACGTTATTAGAATGGATGAATGTGGACTGTCGTTCTTTGGGGGATTACAAGCATGGGCTACCACACCCAGCTTATTTTCACCTAAGCTGTTGGGAGGAGTAAAATATGATTACACGAGAAAACAGCTCTGTTGCTGGACAGTTGGCGTCTGGTTTTGACAGGGAGACATCAACAGAGCCTTTCTGTTTTGTGGATCTGGCCTGCTCACGATTGCTAGCCCATAAGTGACCCTAGAAGAAGGCTGTAGTGCGTGTCCTCCTCCTCGGGTTCCAGATGACAGAGGGACTGGCTCTAGAAAAGAAAGAAGAGTCAGAAGGTGGGACAATGAAGACACAAGGGATGGTTTGGTCCCTAGGAAATAAAGCTGGGTTTCCTGGTGGAGACCAGCAGCTCCTGCCTGCCATGGAGATGGGAGTGGCTGTGTGGGTATCTGTGGAGGACAGACCCAAGGCACCGCTTACAGGTGCTCCAGTTGAGAGAAGGCAGTCTGGTCTGAGCAAGGAAATGACAAGCAGTGTAGTCTGCCGCCCGGGTGTTCTCTGCCACTGTCCTTACCTGGAACTTCCCACGAAGAAGGCCTTGAGTTGCCACCAAAAGAATAAAATGGACTTCTCCGAGATCTTAGGAACCAGTGGGCTTGTATTTAGAAACTACAGAGTAATCACAGACACATGAGCAGATGGAAAGTCATCCTGCCTGAACTTGATTAGCTCTAGTACACTGGCAGAAAAAGGGGTTATTAACAGAACCCAAGGCATATGGACACTCTCACAACAGTGGCTGGCAAATATTACTAAGTGTATATGGTTATGTATGTATTATGCCCTGTACTGTGTTGGGTTTTTTGTTTGTTTTGTTGGTTTTGTTTTGTTTTTCAACACAGGGTTTCTCTGTAGCTTTGCAGGCTGTCCCGGAACTCACTCTGTAGCGCAGGCTGGTTTCGAACTCCTAAATACTGGGATTAAAGGCATGCGCCACCAACGCATGCCTTTAATCCCACCTGCATCCTCTGTGGGTTGGGATGGCAGAAGGCTCTCCCTAAGCGTACGTTCCCCATAAACGACTAAAGAAGGGCAGGGACACACTCAGTACTGCAGAAACGCTTCCCTGGGGAGTGGGTGGCCCAGGCTTCTTGGAAGGCTCAAGAGAACCTGTTGCTACAGCCTGGAGGATCTTTCTGCCCCAGCCACAGCAGCGAGTCGCCACCTGGTAGAGCTGTTCCGCCTTCAAGAGGATCAAGAGCCTTCCTTAGGCGTGAGAACCGGCATCCCAAGCGTAGCGAAGCGAATTGCGGCGGACTCTCAAGGAGTCCAAACGGATCCTTGCGCTTCTCCATGTTTTACATTTTTACCGGGGAGAGGGGTTCTTGATACAACCTGGTCCCCCTTTTCCACGCCCCTCCCTTTCGTGGCTCTCTGCCCGTCAGGTCCCGCCCCTAGTGGGCGTGGCAGTCTGCTCCGGGACTCCCGGGGGCGGGGCCGGGGCGGGTCTGTAGCGGCGGCGGCGGCGGGAGGGAGCAGCTCGGCTGAAGAGGCCCGCGGGGAGGCGCCGCATCCGGAGGCTGCCCCGCACCGCATAAAGCGGCAGACGCACAGTGTGCCCCGCAGCCGCTCGGGCCGGTCGCCGCTGCCGAGAAGCTGCTCCGATGCTCCAGAGCGGCCATGGGCGACCCGCACTGGTGGGACCAGCTGCGGGCTGGCAGCTCGGAGGTGGATTGGTGCGAGGACAACTACACGATCGTGCCTGCCATCGCCGAGTTCTACAACACGGTGCGGGACGCGGGAGCGGGAGGGCAGGCGGGCGGAGGGAGAGCGCTGTCTCCGTGGCCGCGGCGCCTGGAAGCAGGCAGTGGGTGACCGTGGATGTCCGAGGCAGGAGTCGCTCCACGCCCCCTTCTCCGGGCGCTGCTTCCAGCTCTATTTCTGCACCCCTCTCTGGTCCCTATCCAGGACATCTGGATTCCTACAGCGCTTCCTGTCATTTTCTTCTGATGGCTCTATTGTCTGTTTGGCTCCCGTGGTCCGGGAACCAGGGGTCTGCGTCAACCCTTTCTTTCAGTTTAGGTCATTTGGGGAGGTGAACCCACAGGGACAGCTCCCTTCCGCCCTGCCTAGGATCTTTGTGGCGTAACGCACCTGAATCTCATTGTGCGTTTTATGCGCTGAGTACCTACCTGCTTTGGCGCATTGGGAGAGTGGAGCCCTGGGCACGTCCAGGGCTGGGCCCACTCCCACAAGTCGGCGTGCCCTTTCCACTAAACTATGACAATGTTGATCGAGTTATTTCTGCCCGGAATCAAGTTAATTACTTTGAGTTCTTTTTCTTGTTGCCTTCGGAGTCCAATTTTGAGCCAGTTCCTGGTGGCAGCAGTGAAGTTTGGGAGTGATACCGGCCGGGTTTTCTGGATTTGCCTAGGTCCCTGGATATGGACAAGCGGAAATTTACAGAATACTAGGGTTCTGGTCTTTGTGGGAGGGTAGGGTTGTCCCTAGGAGAGGAAATATCCCTGCTTTTTCCCTGTGCCAGTCGCTCGGGACTTTGGTACCCAATGCGACTTTGCACGGTCATTTTTCTGGCTTATCTTCTTTTGCTGTTCAGGCACAGAAAACAGGAACTCCTGGTTTGAGTCATTGTGAGTTTGAGATTGTTATTTAGGATTTTTTTTTCCCATTCTTGGATTTCTGGACAGAATGTCCTCATCAAGAGTCAGGCATTATTGCCTGGATAGATCTCTGGTCTCTTTTATTCTCTCCTTTACTTTTGATCCCCTCCCCCACGCCGTTTTTGTTTGTATTGCTCTTTTATTCCCATGGCGAAGAGACTAGACTATCGAGGAGGGAGCTGTCATGCCCACATGCCGGTACGTATGGGGCCACAACCCAGAATTTCCTACTGTGCCTCACGGTTGTCCTCCACATACCTTCATCTTTTTTATATGGTCAGGTTACTTGCTCAAGAAAACCAGATTTTTGGCGTTCAGAGACATCGGGAAAGATCTAGTTAGTGGAAATGGCCACACGTTTCCTATTATACAACCTGGTGGGCGCACACTGCTCTTAGGTACCACAGGCACCAACAGAAGGACTGGATCGGGCAAGGTACTCTGAACGAGGAGAAACACTAGCGGCAACAAGTGGAAAATTGCTGAGAAACGGTAAAGATTTGACCAGAGTTGAAGGAATGACAGATTGGTGTCAGGTTCTTACACACCCACCCTGGCAGTTTCCTGTGGAGTGTGAGGCCTGTGGAGAGAGTCAGCCCTGCCATTAGGGCCCCCAAAGCTCTTGCATAGCTGCTTTGTGCCTACCTTGAAAAAAACTCCCAGTGCTGGAGGAGGGGGCTACGACTTACCTTCCCTCTGCTTTACTTCCCTCCCCTCCTGCCCTCTCTTTTAGCCTTTCGCTTCCTGGCAAAGGTAGTCCTCTGTAGCGGGGAGGTTCTCCCATCTCAGCTTCTCAAGTAGCACCTGGCTGCTTTTCTTTTGAGTCTTACCTCCCGGAGCTGTGTACGGTGAATACCAAACTCTGTTTTAGAAAAGTGCTGTAGAGTTTGTGGATACTTAATCTAGCCCGTCTATCCATAAACTTCTCCTTTGAGATTAATAAATCGCCACATTGTCTCTGTAATGTGGAGGGTCTTAGGGAAATAGCTGGGTAGCTGGTTGTCATGTATAAGCTCCAAAGCCTTTTCTTCTAGTGACTCTGCTAGTGTGCTGATGCTACCACAGGACTTTCCCAAACTTTTCTCATGCAATGAGAGAATAGCAATGGATTGTTGATGACAAACATCTCCTAAGGTCCTCATAAGGCAGTGGGCTTCATTATTCATTTGCTCATTTGTGCTTTTTTACTTTTATTTTGTGTGCTTTTGCCTGCATGTATGTATGGGTGAGGGTTTCAGGTCTCCAGGAACTGGAGTTACAGACAGCTGTGAGCCACCATGTAGGTGCTGGAAATTGAACCCAGGTCCTCTGGAAGGTCAGTCTTAACCCCATGAGCCATCTGTCCATCCTGTTTGTTTTGAGACAGGGTCTCGCCATGTAGCTCTGGCTGGCCTGGATCTTACTGTGTAGACCAGACTGGCTTCAAATTCACAGAGATCTGTCTGCCTCTGCCTCCAGAGTGCTAAGCTGAAAGGCATGTACCACCTTGCTCATCTCATTTGTTTTAAGACTGGGTCTCCCTATGTAACCCGGGCTGGACTTAAACTCACTGTGTAGCCCCTACTATGTAGCCTATACTGTCCTCATATGCACCAAGATTCTCTTACTTCTGGCTGCAAAATGCTTGGATTTCAGGTATGTGCCACCGTGCCTAGCTTAATTATTTTGTACAAAATTGGTAATTAGTATTAATTTTGAGAAAAATTAAAAGAATTGGCAATTAAAGCAGAAGAAGAGTGGGAGAGGGTTCTAGAACCTTCTTTATGAGTCTTAGAAGGTAATGGGTAACTAATAGGACTTCAGTTACTTCTGGCTACACTTAACTGTTTGCTCCGTGTTGTGGTTCCATTGGGCATTCTGCCATCACCGCAGGCATCACGCCCAATGTATTCATTAGATAAAGGAGGAAAACCAGGACCCGTTTAGTTTATATCACTTGCTGAAGTCAAGGAAATGGTAGAGATGCAGTCAGAGTCTAGCCTCTTTGACTCTGCCAAGAGTTCTCTTGTAAATGTAAGTGCTTCTGTAAGTAGTTAGTTTATTATGTTTATTTATATTATGTGTATATGTGTGTATTGCTTTATCAGTGCTTAATTTTAAATACCTATGTTGTGCTGTGGAATGTTCCTTTATACTGTGTGAAGATGTGTCACTGTGATTGGCTTAATAAAGAGCTGGATGGCCAATAGCTAGACAGGAAGAGGCTTGCTGTGACTTCTGGGGACAGAGAAGTCTCAGGGAAGAAGAAAGGGGGAGTCACCAGCTGGACATAGAGGAAGGAGGAGACGGAAAAGCCATGAGCCATGTGGTAGCATGTAGATGAATAGAGATGGGTTAATTTAAGTCATAAGAGCTAGCTAGAAACAAGCTTAAGCTAAGGCCGAGCTTTCATAATTAATAAATCTCTGTGTCATCATTTGGGAACTGGCTGGTGGGACAGAGAAAGACTTGACACGGTGCAATTTGGAAAGAGTTTCCTGGTGTAACCCAATCCTGTGTGCACAAGGAGACGTAATTACATAAAAACTCTTTTCAAAGTACATGTCACTTCTTCCATGAGGTGAATTCTATAGATAGGCCGTATGTGTTATCTTAAGGGTCTAGGGGAGGATCTGGAGTGGCCTTGGTCATATAGATAGCACAGAGGTCACCTGGACTATTAGTCACCTCTGGTCTTGGTTGTGGGAGCTTTCAGGGAGTCCCTGGCTATACAGATAGAACAGAGATCACCCATGCTGTTAGCCACATCCATTCCTAGCCTTCTGGGTGGAAAACAGGTTTATACATCTCTTCCACAGAAGACACAATCCTGTGTGTTTACCATTCCTAGTGCTTATCTGCGAGTGCAAGGACCTTTCTGCTCCCAGCAGTCACACTAGCTGCACAAAACTGCCTCCCTCTCCCCATGGCCCCTGTAATAGATTGGCCAAGGCTCAATTAGCCGATTAACTCCTTGATGAACATTGAGGGGTGTTTCTGCATACTTCATTGTTTTCATTTTGGCTTTTGAAGAGGGAAACAGAGAAAGTCCACGTAAACACATTTGGATATACTTTTTTTTTCCTTTTTCCTTTCATCACTGGGAATCAAACCTATGGCCTTGTGCATGGTAGACGAGCATTCCAGCTCTGAGCTATATACCTGGCTCACACAGATATGCTGTACAAGTATTAATTCTCATCAGAGAATTGCTCTGCCGAGAGTGTTCATTAGCTTTTGCTTTTGTCTTTATTTCAAGGCATAGTTTTACCAGTCAGTAGTCCTGACTGGCCTGGAACATGCTAATGTAAAACACACTGACCTAAAACTTTCAGTGATCCTCTTCCTAAGCCTCTGTAATACTGGGATTGCAGGCATACTGACACCTGCCCAGATAAATGTGTTCACTTTATTATTTATTTACTTAATTTTGATTTGTTTTTTCCAGACAGGTTTTCCATGTGTAGCCCTGGCTGTCCTGGAACTAGTTCTATAGACCAGGCTGACCTCGAACTCACAGAGATCCTCCTGCCTCTGTCTCCCAAGTGCTGGGATTAAAGGCGTGTGCCACTGTCACCTGGCTTATTTTTTAAACAAGATTTTAAGTAGCTCAGGTTGAGTTAAAACTCCCTGTGTAGTCAAGGATGGCATTATATTCCTGGTTCCTCTGCCTCTACTCCCAAGTGCTGGAATTACAGGCATAATTAGTCATGCCTGACTTGAAAAGGTTCACTGTAATTGCTAACCATTATTGCCAAATGGCCCACCACAGAGCCCTCCCACTTTTAACCTGCTGTCTTCTTATCATCCATCCCGAGCTCCTGATACACACCAGTGTCTCTTCCAAGGATTCATCACCTAACCTAGTGTGGTGGCACACACCTTCAGTCCTAGCATTCAGAAAGCAGATCTCTTGAGAGATCCAGGCTAGCCTGGTCTAAATAGCAAGTTGCAGACTAGCCAGGGCTACACTGTTTCAGAAAACAAAAAGAACCCACTCCTTCCCTTCCATTGTTCACCTAGGATACCATTTTTTTCCCTCTACATACAACCCTTACTTGGCTGAATGATGTGGGTTTGTTTTGTCTGATTTTTTAAGACAGAGACTCATGTTATAGCCCAATGTAG